GCTATTTAGAAATTGTATAAACAAGGCTTTTCTTTTAACTTCAGACAATTCCAGAGGATCATCACACAGGTTTTCTTCAGCTTCAGACGGTATACTGTAGGAAACAGGAACTGCTAATAGACCTTAATTTGCTGAAATGTAAAAAATATATAGGCCAGAAAAAAGGCCTCAAAAGAGGAATGGGACTACTGTTATCTTGTGAGCCATGTGTTGGAGAACCTTGGACTGGGGTATAATTTTTTCTCTGAGCTACAGATGCAGATTTCAGTCATCAATAGTCGGCTACATTAATAATTGGTAATCTATTAGTCTTTATCATTTTATGAAATACATTTTTCATTATAAAACAGTTTTAAATACTGATGTGTTCTCCATAAAATTTGAGTAAAATGGGAATTTAAACAACAGATGAAGTAAACAGATTTCTTGAGTTATGAATTAAACAGCACAGAATAATGATGTTTATGGCCAAACAATGGCCAGTATGATAATATGCAGACCTTATGCCAGTGGTGGCTTGTGTGTTGTTCACTGTAGGTACTGTAGTAGAGCTGCTGGAAACACCTGCTCAGCCGATGGCCTGCAGATGTCCCAGGATGCACAAAATACTGTTGCTAACTTTATCAATCCAGAAAATCTTTAAGCGTTTACTGCCGTTGGTAAAAAAAAAAAAAGCACCTATAGCCTACTCAGAGCAGGGAGGTGTCACTTACACAGTTAATCACTTTAGTGTTGATTCTGTTGGGAGCATGTTTAATTAGAGTAATGCATGTCATTAGCAGCTCAGCTACAGTGGTGCTGTCTGACAGTAGCAACTTCATTCTGCAATGTTCATCAACACAGCTGCAATGGTGTGGGTGCAGAAAACCACACGGCCAACTACAGTGCCTATAAAAAGTATTCATCCCCTGGGAAGTTTTACCCTTTTATTGATTTTATAAATCTGTTTAGATTTAAACTGTGGGGTGACTGTGGTTTCAGTGGGTAGAGCACTTGTTTCTCAACTGGAGGATCGGAGGTTCGAATCTTGGTGCCTGCAGTCTACATGTTGAAGTGTCCTTGGGCAAGACACTGAATCTCGTTGCCCCCGATGGTTATAGCCATCGGTAGAGTTGGTGCCCCAGATGGCTGCCTTGGTTCTGTACTGGAAACAAATTCCTTGTGTGTAACATACTTGGCCAAATAAAGTTGATTATCACAGTTATGGTCAATATAATGTGGCTTTTTTGACAAAAAAATTCCAAAAAAACCTCCTTAATGTCAAAGTGAAAACAGGTTGGTGCTAGTAGTCTCACAGTTAGTGAAATGGGGATCACCAGAGTGCACTGAATGTGTCTCAAGTGATTGGGTCATTCTGTTGAGTTCACGTTGCTCTGCCTAACAGGGGTTCAGGGGTCATGTTGTTCCTGTTACTGACATCAGAGGAAACGTGTCAACATGCTCAGCGTCATCCGCCATCACTGTTATTCTTGTTTGTGTGTCCTCCATGTCATTACTCTGAGTAAGCAGTGGTCATGAAGCTGTTGGACTAAACTGTTCTTTTGAAGCTGAGGGATGGATCTGCATCATTGACAATACTGGAAACAACCTGTACCTACTGTATGCAAGTAGCTCTGAGCTTTGTAAAGCAAGTTCCTGTTAAGTGTGTTGTCTGAAAGAGGAAGAGAGGTGGCTTGTTTAACATTATTTACCACTGTTCAGCCAGCCTTACAGAAAACTCAGCGGTGGAGCTGTTAGCCGCCAAAGTATTGATAAGTTCAAGTGGGATAGATCTTCTTAAATTTATAATAAGGCATCACTGTTAATTTTATGCCTACAGATTGCCCTGTGACTAAGTATTGCAAGTCAAAAATGGCACACGCATATTACAATGGGCGATTGTGGTTCAGTGGGTAGAGCGGTCATCTCCCAACCAGTGAGCTGGAGATTTGAATCACGGTGTCAAGAAGGAACCAATACATTTGATCTCAGACTCTTGATGGAAATACATTTTTAGATGTCATGGTTTTGACTGCCTGAATTTACCTGACTTGATCTGAAGCATTTAAAATATCTGTAATTACCTTGCAGTTATATGCAGTCACTAGTGTACAAGTATTCAGACCTTTTTGCCTTGTGAACACTTTATTGTGGTGTTGATTTAATTTTAAATGCATTAAACTGTTGTTTCTGCCCATCAATCTGCACTCTTATAATGACCATCTGAAAACAGGTTTTTGCAATATTATATATATTCTTGCAAATAAATTAAAAATCAAACACTGAAATTTATGATTTACAAACCCTTTGCTTTGATACTTCAGACTGTGGTCAGGTGCATCCTGTTTCCTTTAATTATCCCAGAGATGTGTCCAAAGCTTGACTGGAATCCACCTTTGGCAGCGTGACTTGTTTGGACATATTATTTTCTCTGCCACACCTCTGTTTTTTTAAGAATAAACTTTATTTCCAAGTATTATCAAAAATAAAAGGAATTTGACTCCAGCCCAGTGGCTACTGATGTGCACAGCAATAAAAAACAAAATAAATACACAATATATACAAGTTAAAGAGCAAACAGAGACTAGCTGTTCAAGAGTGCAATAGCCTAGGGGAAGAAACTGTCCCTGTGCCTGGTTGTCTTGGCACACACTGACCTGTAGCACCATCCAGAGGGGAGGAGTTCAAACAGTCTGTGTCCAGGGTATGAGGGGTCTGTAGTGATCCTCTTCGCCCTCCTTTTGACCCGTGAGGTGTACAGGTCCTCCTTGGAGGGCAGGCTCATGCTAAGTTTTTGTCTCAGATTTGGAACAACTAAAAGTGTTCAATTTTTTTGTCCTTTGGTGTGACACCCTTAAAGCACTTTTTAATTGAAAACTGTATGCTAATGTGCATAATTATGTAAAAGTGTGCAAATGTGTCTTAATTAGTAATGACAGGTTAACTAGGAATAGCGAGGTTATTAACTGACACACAAGACTGGAATCAAGGCTGAATCCTTTGGTGTGTCCAAAAATGTCCACTGCTACCACACCTGTACTGTCACACCAGAGGACAAGGTCTCTTTAAGAAGAGACAATTTTCAGTGTGTTAAAATATAATGTTGCTTAAAAATTCAGCTATTTTTTGCAGAAATTTTGTAAAGTGTCATAAAAATGAGTATAAAATGTGATGCGTTTCTGCTTTCTTTGTGTGAGATAGAAAACACTGAGGGTGAGATATGAGTGGCTGGAGAAATCTGAATACATTTACTATTCACTGCTGAAAATAATCAGTGACTTGTCTGAACTGGAGCAAATTCTCTGTCCCGCTTGATTCATTTGTCGGGTAATGTTGAATCAGTAAAGGCTTTGCTACTGTACCGCCTCTAAGGAAACTGTGTAAAGCATCCGATCAGAAACAACTCTTGAGATTAGATTGTTTTAAAGCTAAGAAAAACAAAAACTAACAAACTGAAATTAGTTTCAAAGAAAATTTGAAATGAATTTAGGTATTAAAATGATTTTTACTCCCTGTTTGTCAGCTACCTATTGTTACAGCCTACCGGTAATAAAAACCAGCACATGCATTGCCATTAGCTAGCATGTTACAGCAAGGAGAACAGGAAGAGAAAAGGAAGGCCTTGAGTAGAGGAAAAGCAGGGAGAAGAGGATGGGTGAGGATAGACGGGATGTGAAAGGAAAACGGAGGAGAGAAGGAAGGAAGGAACTGGAGTAGCCAGGGTGAGTGTTAGCCTATTATTATAGGAGGAAATTCAAAATACTAGAGAACTTATCCTGTCCTCCAGGAGGAAGATTTGGTATGATTTTCTGCTAGATAGGCTAGTTGCAGATTACTTGGTTGCTGTTATGAATTTTAAAATGTAAATGGTTAAACTTCCTTTGTTTTGTGCAAAAAAAGTAATTTTGTTAGGTTTTCAAAACCAGGGAATCAGTTACTGACAACCTGTTGGCCTGCTGTCTGATCCCTCCTTTATCCATCAGTTGTGGTGTCAGCGGAGCTGTAAAAACATGTCCCGGAGAGAATTTGGAAAAGGCCCAGGAAAGGAGTAATGAGGGAGCGTAGGTCACTAAAGCAGTGTTGGCCTTTGACGATCCAGTATCAGAAATGACTTTGCAGCAGGCCATTGAACAGATTCTCTTTACAGCTAAAGGTCCTACAGGAACAACAAGAGTATTTGCAAAAAATACTGGAATGCCCAATGTTTAAGGAGGCAGAGTCTGAAAAGACAACGGACGAGCCAGAAAAAGATGAAAAAGCTAAATGCTGTGCAAAGCAAACATGGTCATAAGTGGCCAGTGACACGGCTTTTATGGGTTATTTCAGACAAAACTTAACACTTCCTCAAAGAGCCAAAGTATACTGGTTCCTAAAGCTTCTCGTAGAGTATCATCTGAGGGTATAAGGAGGTAGCTGCCTATAACTGCAGGTTATTATTCAGGAGGGTTTGGGGTCTTGTCCTGAAGTAATGACATGTAAGAGGGAAGTCTGCAGGGAACTCTATTCGCAGGTTCATGGTAGTCAATTACTGAGTATCTCTGCCAAAAAACCTCAAGCAGTGTTTGGAGCTTCAGTACGTTTCAAATATGCCACTTTAGTGTGAGAGGTTAAGCTGTGGTACTATGTCCAGGGGTTAGGATGTCGTGGCCTTCAAACAGTGGCACTAGCCTTATATCTGCAGTTTAATCTGCTGGCTATTGTGGTGCTAAACACAATATCCAACGCAAACATTTTTCTTTTACATAATTTGACATCAGCAAAAACAAACACTAGTACAGTTTAATACTAATGCATATTTTTGAATCTGCTGAAAGATTTTGTCCTCAGGGCTTCACTATACTCTGGGGACTGGTCAGACATCAAACAGAAAAACTTTGGCATTTTACTTATTAGTGTCAGAAAAACCCAAGAAAGGTGAATCTGTCTAAATGTGCTGTCCTGTACATGAAATATGAAAATATTGTTTAGACTTTGTGAATGCAATCTTTTGTTTTGTTTTTTTTTGTCTGTCTGTCTTTCAGGTGGCACATTGAACCCTCAGCACACAGTCTTCATCGCACCCAGGGGCCAGAGTTTCACTTGTTGTTCACTGGGATCATGTAGTGGTGTGCCAGATTTATCAGCAACTGACAGTGAACAAGTTGCAAGGTCTAATATTTATAGGAATGTAATTTAACTAAGACATATGGCAATAAATCACACAGCTGAGGTATTTGGCCATAACCGAATACCACATGTAAAAAAAGGGGAAATGCTGAAGTCCTCCAAGGCTTTGTTATAAACCCAACGCATTCTGTTGACAAAGTCAGCTGTGGGGTTGGGTACACTGGTGTAATGCAGAGAACAGGCTATTATCATGGTGGCCCGGTATGGCTGAGCCTCAAGCTGTTGTAGTTTCACAGAGCATGTTAGCATATGGCTAACTGCGTATGGTGACTGATCAGGCCATTATCCTTCTCTTCTCAATTACCATATCTGGCCCCTACACGGGGGTATAAACCTGTTTGTAGTGGCACCCTGTACCCCATCATTTTTTCATTTTTCTTTTCATTTAGTCATCCATATACCCACCCACCCAACAAACACTAACTTTTGCTCCACCTAAGCTCTGGTTCTTTTTGAGGGCCTCCTCTTTTTCTCTTTTGTGAATTCATCTCCCATCTGTCCCAGTTCACCTTAATCTGTTACATCTTAGGCCCCGCCCCTGTTTAAAGTCAGACCACAACCCACAGTCTGGCTCAGTGTAGTCTGCCCTGAAGTCTGACAGTCAAGCCGCTAGGCAGTTGTTTTGGTGGTTGTTTGGTTGCATGGAATCAGCTTAACCGTGGAGAAGCCAGGCTACCACAAACTGATGGACTTTGACAAGCGTGGAGTAGGGGGAGGAGGGGGCGGTGGAGGAGGAGGAGGAGGAGGAGGAGGAGGTGGTGGTGGTGGTGGAGTTGGAGGGAAGGGGGAGACAGAGGAGGGGAAAAGGATGTCTGGCAAAACAAGCAGTCGATCAGTGCACAGTGGCAGGGGTGCTGGAGCCAACTCTGGGGTTCTGATGGTTGGACCAAACTTCCGGGTTGGAAAGAAGATTGGCTGTGGGAACTTTGGAGAGCTGCGACTTGGAAAGAACCTGTACACCAATGAATATGTTGCTATCAAACTGGTAAAACTCCATTCTCTCTATAGTGTACTGTAGGGCAGCACTTAATATTATGATGACTATTATCAGTTCATTCAGAAAAAAATAATTGAATACATTTTAAAGTAAAAAAATTTTTTTAATTAAATTGTTCTAAAATATTATGCAAAACATTTTTAAAATGTGTGTATGCGTAGCCCAAATATGTTAGTATTTGTCATAAAAACTGGTACTATGAATTTTACTGCTTTATTGTATGAAAAAGAATTGTACTAATTAAAACAATCTTCCTTTGCAGGAGCCAATCAAGTCGCGAGCACCACAACTCCACTTAGAATACCGCTTCTACAAGCAGCTGGGAAGTTCAGGTAAGAACTGCCATGCCTTTTGTTGGGCTTCCTACTGTGAGAATCAGTGGTGTTTTAACTAAAGGGCAAGGGGCTAAATTCCTTTCATTAGTAGCCACAAATGCATATTCAGTGATTTACTAATACAATCAAGATTACAGATGTTTAAAACCTACTCGTGCATGTCTCGTTAACGTTGGGGTGAAGCAAAATCAGCGATTTGCTTCTAAGCACATTATACTTTAGAAAATAGTTACTGAAAACATGGAAAGACTGAGAATTATGAAGTGCTAAATTGTGGAGTTAGACCCTTAAAACAGTTTTTCATAACATAATGCGTGGCTTGATGACACACTGGAGCCATCCTGAAACATAACACCTCCTCCCAACACTGTAATGGTATAAAAGCTAGAGTGCACAGAGCTCTACACCTGCATTTGTTTTTAGGGGCACAATAAGAAACTTCACAGCAACAGTTATGTTTTTTTTTAAATAAAAAACATTAATGCTGCTGCTTTGGTATTAAGCAATGACCAAAGTCGGAGCACATGAACCGTGAATGTGCTGGAGCGGGTCTAAACCGAGCATAGTTGTGGGGGACATAATGGGTTTTTACTCGAGGGGTTTATTGCACATGCGGTAATGAGCACAGGTGTTGTAAACTTCATAAGTTTCACTTTCACTTGTCCTGGGCTCCCTTTTCTGTTCTGCGTGTGTGTGTAGGAACTGAGCACCAGTTTGCTAGCTAGCTATGCCTTCGCCCCGCAAATGCATCTTTCCTACACATTCTCCCTTAATACATTTATGACGAGAACTGGTGGCATATTTGCAGGACGTGGTTTCAGTGTCTTCACCTGACACTCCCCAGGCATTTCAGAGCACAGAATACTCCTTATTTTTTCATGATTTCGAAAGCAAATTTTATATATTTGGTGATATTTTTAATCATTCAAATTTGGCTGGGTGGTTAATAACACAGGGCAGCACAGCGGCGGTTAGCACTGTCGCCTCACAGCAAGAAAGTTCCAGGTTCGAGTCTGGGTCGACCTGATGACTTTCTGTGTGGAGTCTGCATGTTCTGCCTCTGCCTGTGCGGGTTCTCTCCAGGTATTCTGATTTCCTCCCGCTGTGCAAAGACAAGCAGTTTAGGTTGACTGGCGACTCTGAATTGCCTGTAGGAGTGAGTGTGGGTGGTTGTCTGTCTCTAAGTGTCAGCCCTGTGATAGACTGGCGACCTGTCCAGGGTGGACCCTGCCTCTCACTCAATGTCAGCTGGGATTGGCTGCAGTAAACACCAAATGCCCTTTGAAAATGTATGACACTGAGGGCAAAATGATGTTTAAACCGTGAAATGTATGATCTGTTTGAGTCATAAATCTGAAACTGACTTTAGATCAGTGTATCATGTTTATGCGTAAATGTAGCTGTATTTATTTCCTGCTCTTTCTTTCACCATTTCTCCATCCAGAGGGTGTACCCCAGGTGTTTTACTTTGGACCATGTGGTAAATATAATGCTATGGTTCTAGAGCTATTGGGACCCAGCTTAGAAGATCTGTTTGACCTCTGTGATCGAACCTTCTCTCTAAAGACTGTACTCATGATAGCTATACAGCTGGTAAGACAAACACCAAAAATGATTTTTCACCATATTGAACTGCAGTATTTTACCTTTGCTCTTTTTAAATAACCCACCTTTGCATTGTTTTTAATATATTTACTTTTTTTTCTCCCTTAGATAACACGCATGGAATTTGTTCACACACGAAGCCTGATCTATCGAGATGTGAAGCCCGAGAACTTCCTGGTGGGCCGACCTGGCTCCAAACGGCAACACACTATCCACATCATAGACTTTGGTCTGGCGAAAGAATACATTGACCCAGAGACTAAGAAACACATCCCATACAGAGAACATAAAAGTCTGACTGGAACTGCTAGATATATGAGCATCAATACACATCTGGGGAAAGGTGAGCTGCAGTTGAAGTAACATAAAGCTGTTGAGGCCGTAGTGAATAAAATTTGTCGTTCTCCTAGCAGTGCTGTTGTAAGTACCAGACTGGATGTTGGAGTGTAGCGTAAATGTTTCTGGCATCAGTGTTGAATTTAAAAGCAGTCAGTTCACCTACTGATGCTTTTGTTGTTCTGTTATTTTAGAGCAAAGCAGGCGGGATGATCTGGAAGCTCTAGGCCACATGTTCATGTACTTCTTGCGAGGCAGCCTACCCTGGCAGGGACTCAAGGTGAAGAGACAGCTGACCAGGGCTGCATCTCAAGTCTCTGATATGATATGATTACTCCTCGATCCTCACTCGACCTGGAAATTGTTCTGGTCAAGCAAGGATCGAGGATGTCTCAAGATTTAATCTGCTCTGAGGAGCGAGGAAGCTGCTGGAGGAGTCATGAGTGAGGATACATGAGAACAACAAGTCTTCTAGGGACTGACGCACCCTTTTATCGGATATCAATTGGTGATTAGACATTTTAGATGAAGGATCAGAGAAGAGGACATCTCATGTCTGTATAAACTTGTTTCCTCAGTTTATCTCTCCTCGCACTTGCATCTTACGTGGGCGGGACTAAAACACAAGAAGATATAAGTGAGGGAACATTGATGCATACTGTATAAGAGACTTGGGATGTACCTCAGACATCTAGTGTGTTCATCGCTTCAGTCATTGTTTTTCCCCTGCTTTCTCCCTGCATGTGTGGGCCTCTGTCCTGACTTTTGTTTGCTTTGTATTCATCCATTATCTGTTAAGAATAAATTCTTCCCTGTGTCTTGTCATTAGGCTGACACTTTGAAAGAACGTTATCAGAAGATAGGAGACACAAAGAGAGACACACCAATAGAAGTCCTTTGTGAGAGCTTCCCAGGTTTGTATACACACCTTTACAAAAAAGCTGTACTTCTGTGCAGCTGTGGCATACACTGCATGCTGAGGCTAGGATTTGTTGATCAGATTTTGTCTCTCTCTGTGTTGGTTGGGTGCCTGTGCGTGGTCTCATATGTGCATGTCTGTGTGTTTTTGTACCTGTGTGTATGTAACAGAAGAAATGGCCACCTACCTGCGGTATGTGCGTCGGCTAGACTTCTTTGAGAAGCCTGACTACGACTATCTGAGGAAACTCTTCACAGATCTCTTTGACAGAAACGGATACATCTTTGACTACCAGTATGACTGGACTGGAAAGCCACTGGTTAGTGTACAGTGGGTTTTATGTGTTGCACACACAATAAGCTGTCTGAGGAGTGTCTGGGTAAGGTCAGGAAAAAAACTGGGTAGATGTTTAGACAGTGAGGTTTGAGTTTACAGGGTTTCTGCAAATTCTTAAAAGGTCTAAAATCCAATTTATGACGCATTAATGTCTTCAGTGCAATTGTGATGGGTCTTAAAAATTATTGGGCATGCCTAGTAGGTTAAGTGGATTATTTTAACATTAAGTTGATGTTGCTTCTGTAATGTCACATTACCATCAGTCGTGCTGCCTCTGGTACACTGATTTCTTGTCGTTTTTTCCTCATCACTTCATGTTTATCACCCTGTAATAAAACTACAAAGCCAAACCAATTTCGAACCCATAACATTTGCAAGGGTGGTGCTGCATGTGGGATAACATAGCACGTCTTCCATAAGTGTTTGCTTCCATTGCTTTCATCAACCTGACACGGAGAAGGGTAAGTTTAATGAGATGACGAGTGAAAACTGTGCTTTGAGTGCTTGGTTGAAGCCTGGTAAACTAAATTAATTTGAAGCTTACTGCACTATGTGCAAGAAAATGCTGAAATTAGGAACTTTGGGCATGAAGGCATTGAAGTCACAGAAAAACGTAACTACTGTTAAAAACCTCTGAGTAACACTGAAACCACGGCCCGGTCCCAGATGACCCAGCCTCTACAACACCAGTAAACAACCTCTAGGCAGTGTTTGGATCTGCATCAGCCTTAAAAACCGCTGTGATTTAGACGACACATGGTAGCTGTCTAATTATTACTTACAAAGTAATTCATACGTATACAATATGATTACTGAGCTGATTTTTCTTCATGCCCTTCCTATTTTTTTGCCAACATGGATATGAAATGAGTCTTAAACTGCACTCACACTGGTCCAAAAAGGTCTTGTCTTGATGAAATTTGCAGAAACTTTGATTCAGCAGGTTTGAAATTTGACCAATATATGATGTGCCATATATTATTATTGATGATTTGATATAATTCCTTTTTTTATTGCTAAGAGTTTATTGTGTATGTTTCGTTTTTCTGATCCCATGCTGATCTCACTTCTTGTGTGTGTAGCCCACTCCTATTGGTCCAGTGGCCAGTGAGACACCGCTTCAGACCAGCAATCGTGAGAAAGTAGCACAGACCAAAAACCAGGTACAAACACTCATTCTGGACAGATATGATCTCATTAGTGTTGCCCAACATTTGGAACAGATGCACTGGTTTGCCAAACACACACACACACACACACACACACACACACAGCAGGCTATGTGAACTACCCCTGCCTCTTACAGTACTACCCCTCAGTTTTTATCATTTCTTGTTTGCTCCACTTAAGTTAACGTAACTGGCCTTGTTGCAGGGATAATTTGCTTGGTTTCTTTGTCAGTCAGAACTAAAGCTGACAACAAATGTGCAAACATTTCGGCAGCAATCTATAGTAAGGAGTTTAAATCCAGAAGTTAACCGACTAGATAAAAAATCTCTGTTACCTTTTATAATTATTGTACTACTTCAATGCCATGATAGTTAACTGTAACAATGTAGTTATAGTACCTGTGTAAAATATGAACACCCTCTTGGAATTTTTCATGGTTTACAAAATTTACTCACGATGGACAGTAGATGTTTTTTGAAACTGATCAACAGAATATCTTGTATACCCTCTTGGTCACCCCCTGTAGGCTGAACAGGTGACTGCAAAGTTAATTGTTGGCCTCTTCACAGAGGATGCCAGTTGTAGTCAGACTGGACCTACAGCTGGCATTGTGGACTCCATTTACATGGCCTCCCTAGAATCACTGAGCAAATCATTGACAAAATTGTACTGGGTGTATATACTGAGCATCACTGTCCAAGTTGTGGAGCAAACCTGCAAGCAATCATGTTACGGTCTTCCATATACAGTGGGTATGGAAAGTATTCAGACCCCCTTAAATTTTTCACTCTTTGTTATATTGCAGCCATATGCTAAAATCATTTAAGT